TTTCGTATTCTAAGGCATTATCAAGACAAGAATTCCATATCATGTAATTTAAGTTGATTAAATGTCTCCGTCGGAGAATTTTCTGTGCGATTTCATTTCCTGCGGAACCTTTTCTTACAAGCTTAGTATATATGTTATATACTAGCCGTAAAATGGCTTAATAGAGGAATAAAGAAAAGCATTACTATAAATAAGAAGTTTATATTTTAATTAATACTAATTATATTATTATAAATTGGTGGTATAATTTCTATATTACCTTAACCATAGGATTGATTGTTTACTTTGCGTTTATAAACTTTCAGTTTTAGTATTATGCCCTAGTATAAATGTACTATCGATCAATCGTTTACTCTACTTAGTGAACCATATTATGCATATTGATCACTATAATAGGAACTAATGCTGCGTAAAGAAATCGGCTTATATCATTTATTTTGATATTGCAAGCGAACATAAAATAACGATGTCTTTGGCAAGAAAAATGAATTTCACTTATTTATGCAAGCTTTTTGTTCATAGTTACTAATTTCATACGCCAGCATACGTTTGCTCTCGTGATTGAATTTATAAGCATAACATTCTATAGGACATGACTAGTGATTAGCTGACTCATACGCAATTTATTGTAAGTAAATAAGCCGGGCCAATAAACTATATTAATAGCATTACCTAAATAATCATCTACAGTACATATCGATAGACTGACATCAAAGAATAAAGTAAAAAATTTTTTGAATAGCTATTGATTTGGAAATATTATAGTAACGAAAAACAAAGATTGTAATGGTAGCAATAAATTAATCTACAAATGTAGATCACTTTCATATTAGTAAAAGTAAATACGAATGATACCGATTATGTAAAATTATAGAATCAATAGACCGAGATATATATTGAAAATAAATCATGTCCAAAATGATTTAAGTGTGTAATAGAATAGGGATAAAGATAGGAAGTGAATGACATCAATTGTCTGCAGGCTCGTCATGTTGGATTCAAAGCAACGAATAACGTTATCGACATAGTGACTTGACAACTTGACAGTATTTCTAATAAAAAAGAAGATTCGACTTCAAACTTGAGATGATAATAGATTTTATTATTTTCAGCTTGTAGACTGTCGTCTATGAAAAATATTAATTTGGTATCAGTATACGTGTGGATATTGTATGGGCCGATTTTTTTGATCTTTCCTTCCTGGCTTCAATTCAATGTTATTTATAGTATAAACGTTGACATTATAATTCAGGACCGGTAAATAGTTTCAACAATTTCATCGCATATTATGTAATATTATTTCAATTGACGTCTTTGTTAGCGGTGTGTATTGTTCATAAAATAAGGGAGAAAATGTATAAATACTCATCATTTTACATCGATTTCAATTTATTTTGGCAATCGGTTCATAGCCAATCCATCCAAATTTAAAATTTGCTAAGAATTTTTGGGTCAAGAAATATTAAAAGAAAAATTACCTGTAAGTACACTTAAAATGATATTGTATTGTCAAAAAGTCGCATAAAATTTCAAGACTGTGATTGAATCCAATCGCTGCTAGCTAAAAACATCAAAATATTACTGCAATGTTACGTATGATATAAAATTGATCGGATTCATCGATAGGATAAGAACTTTATATTTTATAAATGGTTTAATGATTAAGTCTGAAGCACCTTCACCTCAGAATGCTATTAAAAGGCAAAATTTTGTACTATATCTTACTAGAATTGATAAAGTAAGCTAATTAGTGGTTCAATATAGGCTAATCATTTTAAATTTTCAGTTTATTAAAATCGTAAGTCATGATAGCTTGCGAATTATGAATAATTAGCACCACAGAAAAATTGTTTAACCGAGAAAGCTACATTAAATTTTAATATTATTTGATGCTGATCGCATCAAATTGATAATATTTTCCATCAATATAAACTGCTTTGCCGCACACTTTCATAAAGTTATGAAGCTTACTGTATTGCAATTGTGCTAAAATAGTCTTATTCGAAGACAAGTATTGCTTTGCTAGTAATAGGGGTTATGCTATGAATTACTAGATTTGTTAACATGATGTTTAAGCTACCATTGGAGTAATGCTCAAAAAGTGCATATATGAATTAGAAAATTATAATGCTCGATAGAAAAACTGTATTATTATTTGTGATTAGCAGAGGTAATATTAAACATCACAGCATCAGTGCAATTTTGAATCTGGCCATCATTATTCCATGAGTTTCTACTTTCATTTTGAGGCGAAAATAGTCACAGAAGTGTAGAAGAAAGATAGTCTATAATTTATAATCCAACATGATTCTTACCGGCGTTTAATAACATATTGAGATACCGGAAGAAACGCCAAATATTGCTAATTAAAATCGATTTTTTAATTTAAACTTATAAAAAAGAAACCGCAATTACAAAATATATAATCTAATCTCAAACATTTTATCCTACATCTCGTGAATAATATCTATTCAAGTATAAATTAGATAGAGAAGGCTTGAAATATTAATGAACATTCCCAGTATGGATTAGATAATAATTGTAACGGATATGTTAATATTTGGCTTTTCTATTTGATATGCCAACAATTGATTCATGATTAGTCCAATGATAATTTCTGTGGCATTCGATAGTAAATTATTATGAAATTTTAGTGAAGGGTACGAGGGCGGATAATTATAATGGAATATGAGAAAAATGGTTTTATTTTACAATATAATTGATTAGTGATGCTAAATAACAACAGTATATGAAATCAGCCAATGATTAGTGATGATTTATAATTGTATTAGATACAATAGTGTTGCAAATTACTTAACTTCTAATCATGAATAGAATTAAATTATGGCTAGATTTTTAATATTGAAATCTGATTATAATTCAGGTTATCTAGTATATTTTCTATAATAAAATATTACTCAATTTTGGACTGTCCATTTTTTTCTAGCTACAATCAATTAATTATTGCATCATTTAGGCTTAAAAATTGATTTCTTAAGCAGATTCAGCAGTATTGTTGTTATTTAGAATCTTGTTATCAGAATATTCGATATTACTTAGTTTCTAATGAACAGCTTATTCATTTTTACCTATTGAATTAGACGTGACTATAGGCTGATTATTCATTGGCATTTTAATGTGCTTAGGGAATTGATATGTCATGCTATTTTTACCAACCTTGAGAACAATAAGTTATTCTACTGTATTCGCCAGCGAATATATGCTGTATTATTAATAAGCATTTTAGCTATCACTGTATACTATATAAAGATATATAAGCCGAAGCCATCAGCATCAGTGGGGGGGGGGAATTTGTACACAAGAGAATCTTTTATTCAAACCTATAAAAAAAATTTATTTTCCTATCATACTTTTACAGAAAAATTCAACTTTAGATGTTAAAAGGAATTTTAGACTTAAATTTAGGTATGGAATTTCATTTTAATAATTTAAATAATTAGCTACCATATTTTAGCTTAGATCATAAAGTTAGACTTGTAACAGGTTAGTCCAAAATTTCGACTTTCTCTTTTTGAATATTATTTTTGCTTACATTAAATATACACTTTTATATAATAGGGAACAAAGTACCCTTTGCTTTGTTTTTCTATTTTCTTCTATATGCCTTGTTTTAACAAGCGTGTATTAACGCGCTTAAGATGCAGCTGATTTGTTACTTTATAGAACTCTTTGAAGCAATTATTCCCAGCGTAGTTTAGTATTTTGTTATTTTCGTGGGCTTATATCACTAGAAATAAGATTACTCACTTTATTTCCTAAATATACAAATTCGTATGAATGTAATTAAAATAGACTTATAGACTGATTAAATCAAGGAATTGTTATCAGAAATGTAAACATATTCTAGAATTAGCGTTATTTTTCGATCATATTCAAGCCTTCCTATAATATGGAAAGTCAATAAAAATCTATCAAATTACTTCCGTTCTTTTTAACGAAGAATAGCAGGTTATGGTTTCCGGCTATTTATCTTCGTTTAGCTTGCCATAATTCACTACAATGAATAGAAGCTTTTCATCTAGTGAATTAAAATTAATGCCATTTTCTATTATTATCAATTGAGTATATTAAAAAATATATTACTCATGTTTCATTTGTTGATTTAGTAGTTTGAGCTATAAATGATGTGAACTTTTTTATCCGGTCAATTAAAATCGATAGCCGTAAAGCTTTAAATTGTTGTGTTAACGCCTTATGAAGAAGTAGAAATATCAAATTCTGCACCTATTATAAATTAGGCTACTGTCCATTAAACTTACCAAATATATGCAGATTTTATAATATACCGTCTTTTATTCCTAGTTAGTTGAATACATTCAATACGTCTACTAATGGTATTCGCTAATATGTAGTTATTTCCTTCGTCAAATTGATAGACTTGTTGTAAGCGTTTGTCATTATGAATTATTGACATAGGGATGTGTTATTTTTAGGATTCTTATTGGAAATAGATAATGAAATTTTTTCTTGGCATTCTCTTTAATTTAGTCATCTGCTTTTGTGATCTTATCTATGCGAATATAACCGTACATAGTTGATAGGGTAATTTTCAAGTATGATTGAAATATGACCAGTATAAATATATTATTGGATGGTGCAGGTGTTTTCACTTTTTTTTGTATTAAAAAGTTTTCATTTCAATTTTTTAAGATAATCAATTTGTTGTTATTACCAGAATTGAGAGCATTATTAGATCGATTAATAAATATTAAGTCAATAAAATTACGTTATGGTATGCACTACTAAGTAGATATGATATAATCACTTCATATTTAGATTTACTTTAATAATACTCTCATTTCATTACATTTTATCGTTTATATCCGGACATATGCTCACGAAATTATATATGAATCTTTGCGTGAATTATAAATACTGAAAGAATTTAATTCTGTAACTAAAATTGTTGATACGGTGCACTATAAAGTAATTAATTAACATAAATTTGCTATAATTTTGGTACCGAATAGGACAACACGATGAAGTTTATTGCCGTAGCAACTTTATGCCTGATTATATTTGCTATTGATATCAGCTCAGCTAAAGCTGTTATTAAGAATTTAAATCGTTTAAAAGCTGGTGATCAAGATATTTACAGTTTTATCAAGCATATGATGGAAAAACATCGTGGAATGCAACCCAATATGGCAGAAAATAAGAGATTGACTTCTAACATTGCGGATAGATCACCATCAGAGAAAATACTCAAGCTACGTCTTGATGATCGGTATCATGAACTACTACGCAGGAAAGAAGATGCATATGACGAACTAGATCGTTATGTTAGTCAATCTATCAGGAATAGTCGTTTTCGGTCTTTTAAGGGAATTAATTTAGGTAAGTTACTTAAAGTATTTATATTATTGAATAATCGGCTACTATTTTCATGTTATCTAGCTGTAATGATTTCGTCTTGATAATTTATAAAATTTAAAATATTAATGCCATAGTAGTTATTTAGACTGACCTTTAGCTCACTTTAAGACTTGAAATATTTAATTACATATTTTTCATAATGTATGTACTAGACGTACAAAGTTACCGTATAAGACATTAAACTAAAGTAAATCTTTTCTAAAGGAAACATCGATATCACAGACATGCATTTATCCTTTGGTATTAGTCATTTCTAGAGTTCCAGTCCCATATAACATTTTGTTCTCGATTGTTATTTTCGTCTATGCACCTGCCTTCAGTTTTCTTGTATTATATATAGTGACATATGCCATATTGGTCGAGGTTAAAATATTAATTCTCAAATTTGTGTACACGCATAAGAATGTCCGCAACATGCAATATGACGTTTTCATTTGCTTATCATGCCGAATGATAAATCAGCAAGACCAAATATTGGCATTCTGCCATTTAATCAATTAGTCTACTTTATTCTTTCTCTGTTATTATTGTTGCGACGGCTTTAAATTGTTAAGATTTTAATGACCTTAAATGCCTTATTAATCCAAAAGGATTATTTCTAAATTATGAGCCCTTAAGCCTGATCTAGTAAAATAAATTTTCGTGTTGGTATACTCTGCTTTTTATTATTTTTATATTACTATACTACAAAGAGATGGCCAATAGTTAATTCTCTTTGCTATTATTGCTTATCAAACTTAATCTGTAGATTCAATTATTGTTTATGACAATGAGATCAATAGCAAGAATCAATTTAATACTTGTTCATTTTCTAATGGATCTTCAATTGGTTACTCTACCAGCTAATTTGAAATTTTATTTTACTACATTAGAAGACATGTTGAAATCAAGAAACGCATTTAATGAATTGACGCCAGAACGAAAGGAACTTGGTAAGGCTATATTATTGATACATTTTTATGTTAAGGATTAAAATTTAATCATCTACATATAATATAATGGTGAAATGGTCTTTCTCACATTGAGTTTGCAATCAATGCTAAGTTCATAGAGTAACGCCAAGTATTTAATATTCGAATACAAAATTTGAATAATTAAAATAAATACTGTATTAAATATTTTGTCAAGTTGCTAAATATCGTTTTTCATTAAATATTTACTTTGAAGTCCATGCAGTACAATCGATTCAGTAGGAATTTCTGATTTTCGAAAACAACACCATAAACTTTGTTTACTTCATTCACATGAAATGTATTATGGGTTGTAACGACTGATACTTATAGTTAGATAGAGCAATACGTTTTGTGATTGCTTAATAATTTTTACTTACTCGCAGTATAATAATAGTTTGATATAGCTTTGGTTGCAGCTAATTCACGTGAGAATACATATGCATTTAAGTCTATTTAGTTTAGTGGTAGATTTTGCAATCCAATTTTGAAATGCTAATGCATTCGCAAATCTGTCATACAAAGTAAGTCAGTGGCGATAATAGTAAAGTGTTTTAAAAATTAATAGTTAAAATTTTAGATTCTTAATCACTAGATCAAATCTATCGAAAGGAAGTAACTTTCCCTACTCTTGTTTTGTGGTGTTACAAAGAGATATAGAATAACTATTACTTTATGTGGGCCTAAATGTCATCAGAAGAAGGGATAAATGAAAACCTTTTTAATTATTATTGCTAATAAAGCCTGTCTGATAACATATAATCAATTATAATTATATAATATACCGGTTTCATTGTTAGTTTTAACCTTCAATTTGAATTGGACCATCACTATAAGAATTATTAATGAATGACTGAGTACTTTGCTATTAACAAGTCGATCATTTCCATAATCTTGAATTTGTTTTCTTATCCTTTATACTTTATTACACCTAAGATAGAGATGATTTCTACAGTAGTTACAGTAAGACAGTGACAAGTTGCGCCTATTTAATATAGGCAGTAATTTCTTTACCTTTTTTTCTTTTTCGTCTATGGTATATAACAACAATTATACTGCTTTGCTAATGAAAATAAGTTACTCAGGATTAAATAACTGATCAACCTACTAATAATATTGAAATAGTCGAAATACGAGATGATTTCAACTTAAATTTAGCCATAGTATTCCTTGCATTTTTCGATTTAAATTTACCATGTTCTGATCGAAGCTATATGAAATTATTCTGCATTTTCTAAAGAGTAGACAAAAGCAGATGTTCTTTACTAAAACATCATTTAGAACATTTAATTTCACCATCTTGCATTTGTCCATATGATATACAAAGATACTTACGATGATTCTAATCATCATAGCTAAGAATAGTCGAATTAACGTTATTTTAGTGACTATTAAGTATAATTAGGCTAGCATTCCATTGCAATTGAACTATGGTTACTTTAAGTATTTATGTTAGTTATTTGTTGAAATGCAGTTTATAATTTCTGTTGCTCAATTCGTTGAAAAGATTCCATTATATTATATACGTAATTACTTAATTACGTCGGTGTTAGAGTTAATGAAGTATTTTCTTAATGACCTATTTCAATAAAGAGATCTGATTATGTCAAATAGTTAAATGATAGTGCTCCAATAGTCTAGCTTGGTTTTCACTTAAGCTATTCGTAAAGTATGATTAAACAAAAGGATTTAAGAGAAAACTATAATTGTTGAATACAGTACGTATAACTAGTCAAATGAATTGCTTCGCCTTAATTTTTCTAAACTGCATGATAATATACAATCGATGTTTTTCAAATTTGTATTATTTTACGTAATCTGCTCCTACTATGACGTGATTAAATTTATTCGATTAATGCAATTATGATGTTATCGACTGCATTAGTTATTGTTAATGATGAAATTGATGACGATGTTGATTCTGGTTTTGTTTATCGTCATTGATTTAGCTGCCAAACCTCCAAGTCGAGTTGACGAAAAAGGCGACGATAGAGACGATAATGAAACCACAAGCGAAAATGATAACTCTAGTCAAGATGATAAAATTCATGGAGAATCCAGTGAAAATGATAAGAATAACGGGGATGATAGCAAACAGTCTGATTTGTTAAAGCAGCAAAAACAACAACAACAACAACAACAACAGCAAGACAATGAAGAATATGAAAAGCAAAAGCAAAAGGTTGAGCAACAGCAAAAATTGCTACAAGAGCAAGAGGAAATGAGAAAACAAAAACAGAAGTTTCTTGAAGAAACTGGCAAGAAAGAAAATGATAAAGATAAGGAACCAAGTAAAGACAAAAATAAACAAAAAGGTTGTAAACTAGGTACATTTTGGTTCTATTGCATCTAATGGACGTCAGCCTAAAAAGCAATCAAACTTAAAATTGCTTTAGAGAAGATTACAAAACATAAAATATTCCAAAATATTATATAACTTTTACATGGTTGATTTAAAAATATTTATTTCAATATACCGGTAAATAATACCTGAATGAATTAAAATTATACTGTAAGAAACATAAAAACTAGTTAGGGAAGGAATATACTGAGGACTATAACATGATTGAGAGATAGATAAGGTTACATAGACTCATCCAAGAATTCTTCTACTCCGACATTATCGATCTACGGAGAATATAAAAAAATTGTCTATATCATGCAAAAATTGTCTGCCTGAGCATCTACGTTGATATAGTATAAATCAGAATGCTATTGATTGTAATGATATCATAAATACAAATATATAACAAATAGAAATATAATCATGTATACGGCATAGAGAAGAAATAAATTGCCGAATTATTCTCTGTATCCCTATTAGTGTTGGTTTTTGCGATTTAATCAATAACCAAATCCTAATTATGCATTAAGGTTGTTAACAATCTAGCTATTATATCATCTATATTAAAGTCTCATCTATATACATGCTGCTTAATTAATTAATCAGTCAAGCAATGTTAATAACTTGCCCTTCACCTGATTATCAAAATTAATAAAAAGAATAAAAGCTGATATGACATAAAATTTATAATGTTGTTTGTTTATTCTCTTACAAAGGAATCACGATAACTATTATTACAACAGATTTATTTTCTGAATTTGCTATTACTCTATAACCCTCTACTCTGGTACTATCATGGTACTGTATGGACTTGACAGAATAACATTTTCCAACAATGCTAACGTATGGCTATAATATTTCAGTTAGTATTTCTCATCTTGAATGGGAATAAGACTTTAGTTCGATCTTGATGACTGAATGCTTTCAATTTAATTTAGGTCATAAGATGAATTTAGCTACATTATTGCGTAGTATTATTAATAAAGTACATCTGTATATTACAGCAAGAGCTACCGTTTCATATCGACTTCGTTTATGACACAATTTGGTTCTCCTACTAACTGCAAGTTAGCAAAGACTATTTACCTCCAGTCTCAAGCTATTTTAACTAATTATATCGCTATCTACGATGGATGTGCGGTATACTTGTACCAGTATATCAAACTATGTTGCTGTACAGCATAACTGACTATAATAGAATTTAATCTATATTATTAACTTGAGCAGACTGCGTTAACACAAGCTCTTCTTTGAGATATGCTAATGAGCATTATCGATAACTTTAATCTCGCTTTTGATGAAAATTATATTCGTCTACTAGCTAGAATATTGTATATCAAAGCAGTTTTAATTCTAATACCTACATAGGGATTACTCTGTATAAAAAATACTTTTGGTTGGGTGTAAGGTATTTTAACTCCATTTTTTTTTTATGAATCAAACGGTAGACGCAGCCATTAGCAACCAAAATAAATCATGTTAGATGATAATTGCGATTCAAGAGTTCATATCTGACGAGCCCTAATGTAGAGTCTCTTTACTGTCATGTTTTCATATTGTAACTTTAAAATTTGGAGCAGGGCTATCATTTGCGATCAGATAACCTAGCATAACTTTGTGAACAGAATTTAGGGTTAAAGAGAAATAAAATTTGGATACATTTGTTCATGCTGATTCCTGTTCAATATTGCTGTGATTTATAGAGTACTATGCAACGTTGAAGCTACGAATGTTACAAGTACTACGTTGAAATGTTGAAATTAGAAACGTTTGTATATATGGTCGATTAATTTTCCAAACTAGCGTTTTATAGACCTGTTACGGCATTATGTTACCTAAATTAATAGAGTTTATAGAAATGTTGATGCTTACAATGTTATAGTAGGTGTACTCGTCGTTATTGGTTTCAATCAGTTGATTTTGTGTGAGAAGAATGAGTGATAAGTTCACTGAATAAAGAAGATTTGTAGATTAATTAATCATTATAGGACACCTTGCCTACTGATTGTAAGCCATAAGTAGTAAGACTAGATCACTTCCTGTATAGAATATAGAATTAAAACTACGTTTTTAAAATGGAGAAGCTGCTTACGCGTATTAAATACTTCAAGGGTTCGTTTCGAAATCGACTTGTATGGGATAAATGTCTATAATTTTAATTTAAGCGTTACTAAACGTCTATTAATTGACATTGATTTATCAATTTTATACGTTCGTTCTTGTGAATGACTGTAAGTCTGTGTTACTAACAGTTGTTGTAATTCTATGCTGCCACTTCTCAAAAAATCGCTCTGCTTAGGTATTCCGGTTAGTCAGTGCGCTGAAACGATGTGTATTGACGATCCTTTATTTACAATCAAATACTTTTCTCTGTGGACGAAATCACTTAAACCTACCAACTAGAACTGAAAACAGCCACTTCTACCGAATGTAATAGTAGATACTGAGCTATAATGGGTATTGTACCCATTAATTAGCATTACCTAGCTGTCTTTAATGAGGGAATAATCCCTAGCTCCTACTATAGCTTATTGAAAGGATTATTATATTGCGTTCAATTAGGCCAAAGTAGAAGACAGTTAACTGTCCTTACTTTAAGTTAAATTAGGAAGGCTTTAAGGGTTCAATTAGCAATATAGGAGATGGTGCGTTATTAAGACAGCCTGATTAGTAATACCTATCCTTAATACAGAATTACAACAAGCGTACAGCAGATCCTTCAGATTTTTACTTGATGTTTCAGATTATGTGCTGAAACGTCTCAAACGATGGCATTTCCTTGCTAGAACTCCTCTCAAAGTTGCAGTCAATTCTATCCAGATTTTTTGATGCGTGCCTAAAGTCTGAATAGAATTGTACAAAATTGCAGCCATTTCTATCCAGACTTTTTTGATGCATGCCTAAAGTCTGAATAGAATTGTACAAAACTGCAGCCATTTCTATGCAGACTTTTTTGATGCGTACCTAAAATCTGAATAGAATTGTACAAAGTTGCAGCTAATTCTATCCAGATTTTTAGATGCATGCCTAAAGTCTGAATAGAATTGTACAAAATTGCAGCCATTTCTATCCAGACTTTTTTGATGCACACCTAAAATCTAAATAGAATTGTACAAAGTTGCAGCTAATTCTATCCAGATTTTTAGATGCATGCCTAAAGTCTGAATAGAATTGTACAAATTGCAGCCATTTCTATCCAGACTTTTTTGATGCATGCCTAAAGTCTGAATAGAATTGTACAAAATTGCAGCCATTTCTATCCAGACTTTTTTGATGCACACCTAAAATCTGAATAGAATTGTACAAAATTGCAGCCATTTCTATCCAGACTTTTTTGATGCACACCTAAAATCTAAATAGAATTGTACAAAGTTGCAGCTAATTCTATCCAGATTTTTAGATGCATACCTAAAATCTGAATGGCATTAGCTAAAATTTTGTAGAGGAGTTGTAGTTTGGCAATGCCATCGTTTGAGACATTTCATCACATCATCTTGAACCCGGTGGTTCTACTGCGCCTAAATAGCGATGCAGTCAGTCAATCAAAAGATACTAGAACTATGAGGTCTGCCTATAAAGCATAGACTGCAATGCGCCATTTTGATAGGAGTTTTGAAGGAAACCCTCTGATGAATTCCCGCTGCATTAAGCCGTAGAATCCGTGTGGACTGTCCAGTGGCTAGGAAGCGAGGATCAAAGTATAGAGGTACAGACACTGGTCTAGGCAGGGACTACTCAACCAAGAATTCTCCTTCAAAGGCGGTAATTAAAACAATTTCCCTTATATCTTTTGAGAGAGAATTCTTAACTGAGTACAGGAGTCCCTGGCCTAGGCCATCTTGGAATTCTCTTCTACTAACAGACCAAGGTCCAGATCAGACGATGAAGATCTCCAGGTATAGTGTCCAAACTGGACTCCAGAGGAATAGCGTTTAGTACCGTATATTGTATGTGACTCAAGATGTCCTACAGTACAGTACTGCAAAACATCAATCGGTAGAATACATACATACGGTAGAGGCAAAACCTCGATGAAATTTGCTCTCACGTATGCTTGGTAGGCCTTGGGTAAAAGGTAAATCTACGGTTGCCAGGGACTACTAAAGAGAGAAGAGAGCGACTATACTGTAGTCTTGTTGTTGTTGTTCACTGCCTAAGGTGGTTGGGGATTATCGACAGCGATTGGAGTTCTACTCGTTGATCATGGCAGCCTCCAAATCAGTGGCAATAGTAGGAGGTGGCATTTCAGGTTTAGCTGCTGCTTTTCGATTAGCAAGACGAACGAGTCCGACTAGTTACAAAGTAACCATTTTTGAGTCGACCGATCGTGCTGGTGGTTGGATCCAGAGCACGGTAACTGACGAAGGCAACGTATTAGAAGGAGGCCCTCGAAGTGTACGACCAGCTGGATTATCCGGCAGAGCAGCGTTAAATTTGGTAGGTTATGATCGCGAACTATGAAGAAACTGACCTTTGCAAACCTTGTACAAATCGATAGTGAGCGAATACTGTACAGGATAGCCAATGACCTCATTAATGACCAATATATTATTTATTTTGAAAGTCCGTAATTGCATTCGGGAATTGTAGTCCTCATCTACTGTCTCATAATCCAATTTTCCCCATTTCCCCAATCAACTTCCCAATAGTTTGGATTATAGGCCTTGTTTGGTGTCACGTTCTTCTCTTTGGGGAACATGGGGAAAGTTGATTAGCAGGGGAGACAATTTTTTGTTTAGCAGTCTCTGCCTCATTGCTGTCATCAATATTGTACCTTTCTTTTATCCCCCAAAATCGAGTTGAGTACGGTAGTATCTGGCAGTACGCCTACAATATTATGAAGTTACAGAATAGTCAACTAATCGAGCTGCTGTGGTTACTGTTACTTAGTAGTCTCCGTCTCATTGCTGTCTTCAATATTGTACCTTTCTTTTATCAAAAAATCGAGTTGACTACAGTGGAACCTGCCAGTATGCCTGCAATATTATGAAGTTACAGAATAGTCAACTGATCGGGCTACTGCTGTACATATCAATCGCAATGAAATGTTCATGTTGTTTTACAGATCAATTCTGAAGTAATGTATTCTGTTATATTTCATTCATTACTGCAATGTTACCGCTATTATGCTGTGGCTATTTTGCTATGCATTACCACACTAACACGTTATTAAAATCAGGTGTATGAACTTGGCTTGCAAAATTCAATCATTGCAGTGAATTCAAAGCATCAAGCTGTAAGCAATCGCTACATTTATGTCTACAACAAATTGCACAAACTTCCATCTGGCTTGATGTCCATGTTGAAGCCAATTTCTCCATTCAGTAAGTCATTAATGTATATGATCCTTCGAGATTGGTGGATGCATTACGGGACTAAACCCTCATTGAAAGATTCGGATGAAAGCGTTTATCAATTTTTTCAGCGTCGATTTAGTACAGAGGTAAAATTTTGGCATGAATTGTAAATGAAAATCTGTATATTGTATACGATGCTAAAAATTAGTCATTCTTTGCTTTACTATGCTACGTACAAATATGCTGCAAGAGATACATTAGATACTAGTAATTCATGATGATTTAGTAATAACTTATATAAAGTATGACGTTTTCCTAATAGTCTATCATTAGGTCGATTTCATGGGCGTTCTGGATGATTTTTCTTACTGAATGACTTCGCCAATTATAGTCGTACATCCGTAGTACTGTATTTATCATGCTGTTGATATTCACCTCATATTGCATTAGTTATGCAACAGTAGTTATATGATAGAATGCACTTAATTCAATCCACATAGTAAGAAAACTGTAGTAAATCTTTAATTAAGTTTAGTAGAACAATTACACTTTTAGCGAGTAGATTCAATGATATCTCTCATACCTATGTCAAAATTGTTCTTACAAATTTCGCAGCCAAGTGGAGAACTTCGAACGTACACGTTAATGATATTAACCAAATCAATTCAAAGTATACGAATGGTTAATAAACTAGTTATTCAATGTTAAATGTTATTCTTAATACTGTAAATTGGTTACTGATATTACTGCAACATTGATAAGGTCTCCATGAGAAGAAGTATTTAGCTCTCGTTTGCGATTTCTTTGTTTAAATATAGATGGCAGATTTTTTAGCAGATCCCTTTTGCAGAGGAACATCGGCAGGCGACGCGCGTAAATTAAGCATGAAAGCATGCTTTCCTCAAGTCGTCAACTACGAAGAGCAGTATGGATCAATTTTAGCCGGAGCATTACTCGATAAAGCTATTCCAATAAGTGAGGCTGATTGTCCCCTTGTTTATCAAGCGAAGAAAGAACGATGGCGGATGTGGACGCTGCAAAATGGTATGGAAACACTGGTTAACGAGTTATTTAAACAATTAACAAAATGTGGAGTTAATATTCAACTGAATACGAAATGCCAGCAAATGTCGTTTTTATCGGATGGTAAAGTCATGGTAATGGCATTGATATGATATTCGTAATACGTATAGTTTTAAGCAGTATCTGGCATTCGTATGTTTTAAGTATTCTACACGTCTTGACGCGTAGATTAACTCAAGTGAAGGATTACAGGATTTTGATCACGTTATATGTGCGTTGCCAGCGAAGAATCTTGGTGCAATTCTATCGTCCCAGCATCCGACCCTTTCTAGTAAACTTTCGAAGATTGAAAGTATAACTGTTGCTGTGGTTAATCTAATTTATGATGAAGCTATTCCAGCTGTAAACGGCTTTGGCCATTTAGTACCTTCGATTGAAAGTCCTGGAATATTAGGAATTATTTACGACTCTTGTGGTTTTCCTCAACTGGATTCAAAAACAAAATCTTCGACGCGATTTAGTGTAAGTTCAATTGTCTTCAAAATAGGATGTGCATTCCGTTATCTGCTTATTGTCCAGAATGCTACGCAATAAATAAATCTAATTATTGTAGTCGATTTTCTCAGTTCTGTTGTATCGGTTTCTCAATATAGGTGTTGATGGGGGGTGCATGGTTTAGCCAAATCCATAAAGAAAACGCAACAGATGACTATTACATACAAATGGCAGTGAATGCTGTTCGGAATCAGTTGGGTGTAAAATTAGAGCCATCGACGGTCAAATTATCGATGCAAAGAGATTGCATTCCGCAGTATACAATTGGCCATTTACCTCTTGTTAGGCAGATCTTTGACTATATTGCTATGCATAGCTTGCCAATGTCATTGGTTGGTGCTTCTTATCAAGGTATTGGACTAGCCGATTGCATACGTAATGCAAATTTAGCTGCTGATAGGATATAGTAAATAGTTCGTATACTGCAGTTCAATTTTATCAATCTTTCTTAATAATAACATTGCTATGTTACTGTATTGATGTTCGACTGAGTAATCTTAATGAATATTTCTATATATTGATAGATAGGCTTTGCAGTGTATTTTAGTATTTTTATAGGATTGTAATAATGCTATCTTTTAGATGTTTCTATCCAATAATTTATTGTTCAAACGTTCTATTGGACAGGCAGTCTGATTTATAAAATGAGTGATAAACAATTAAGAGTCGATTAGATTGACTGTGCAGGAATTAGCGTAGAACTATTCTGGCAATATTTTTGATGAATACTAGCATTGGAATAAGTGCAGAGTAAGGAACAATGCTTGAGTGTTAATAACTTACTATACTGTCGTAGTTCAAGATGCAGTGACAACTCATATATAGGCTACGAATGTTGGAAGAATTGGTGATTCAACTTCACTATTGGCTAACTGAGGAAATCAATTATTAAGAATCATTTTTATTACAGATATAATTACTGACTGAAATGCATATATGTACTGTACTATGCATTACCACCACAGTATCATGAAAATGAAAATTTTAATAAAAATTGTAGAAAATGAAGAGTAGGTTGCTTGGTCGCTTCCGCAGCCGAGCTATTGTACTGTACAAATAGACTATAATAACGATTAAGCGTGGAATAGGCGTATATAATTGGTGATGTTTTGAATTGTAGATACTGATTCTGAAAATATGGGTTAATTTATTTAAATAGCTGTCACTACGAATAGCAATGAGTACGGTACGAGATCGCTTACTTATCAATAATCCTAGATACTTTGTTTAGTGAAAAAAAAAAAAAATGGATGATGTAAATGTTTAAATCACGATGTATTTACAGGGTTATGCGAAGAATTTCCTGCAGCGTCGTGTCGGTTGAGATATACTGTATTCCGTAACGAAATGAATAAGTGATATCGCTCACATAAACCTACAGGACGACTATAAGCACTGACAATCTCCTATCGTCAAGAGGAGCAGTAATACAACACTAGTCTCTCTTCGACATCGCTGAACCCAAACTTTATTTAAAAAGTCAGTCAATTTATAAAATCTCCATCAACATCAATTATTATCAGATTATAGATAATATTCTAAAACAGCAGTACGTAGTTATCTATTTTGAACATGTTTTTTAAAACGTCGTGGATAAATTAATGAAAATGCATTCCTGGATAAATTATCTAATGGAATGTACAGTATGTTACGACCATAAAAGTTAAAAGTTATGCCGTAATATCTGGGCTAGAGCCTTGAATTATCTTTTCAAGATGCTATTTACGCGTATGGTTAATGTTGATGAAAATGTAAGATACGACTGATTCAGTGCTTATTCGCTCGCTGTGAGAAAACGAAATGGAAGTCATCTTCGAAAATTTGTTGCGTTATGAAATCGATCAAATAGTATCATGTCACGGCATACAAGTAGCTAATCGTAGACAATCTGATTGCCTAATCATGTCATGACAGTTTATTCATTTATTGATTAGAAATATAGAACCAACGTCTTCTATTGCAGTTGTGACCATAAAGCAAATCGTGCAGAAAATGATCCCACAATCAGAATCATTTGCTATCACTTACTCTCTGTATACAGTACAGTAGTGTAATTTGTTGCCTAATCATGTCATAACAGTTTTTCATTTATTGATTGGAAATATAGAACCAACGTCTTCTATTGCAGTTGTGACCATAAAGCAAATCGTACAGAAACTGATCCCACAGTCAGAATCATTTGCTTATTTTGCTATCACTTACTCTCAGTATACAGTACAGTAGTGTAATTTGTTGCCTAATCATGTCATAACAGTTTTTCATTTATTGATTGGAAATATAGAACCAACGTCTTCTATTGCAGTTGTGACCATAAAGCAAATCGTGCAGAAAATGATCCCACAATCAGAATCATTTGCTATCACTTACTCTCAGTATACAGTACAGTAGTGTAATTTGTTGACTTGCTAATAAGGTATGGATTAATGAATTAACAAACTTTCTTTCATTAATGAATTAATGATGTCATTCTTGGTGGAGCAATACGCGTCAAAATAGTTGATCGCTTTAGTCGCCCAGTGATGGAAAATCATTTATTCTTTCTTTTTGCGACTACTCAACTTCTTTTTTGGTAGTTTTGATCCTAAATACTTTAATTGTACAGTTATTGATAGTGCAATGTCATCCGTTTTCTTCGATATGTTTGCGAATGGTCCAAACTAGAAGAAAAACGCTTGGATCCTATCCATATATGCGCGTACATATGGGGGATCACGTCGTCTCTTCCTGCCCAAAACGAGTCCCTTTAATTACGATTGGGCTAGTACCGACAGATGGACAGGATGGCGGTACCGGTACAGGGCTAAAAATAAGTCAATCTTGATGGAATGTTCTAGAATGCGATGGTAAATGTGATATTGCGCACTCTCAGAATACCCTCTCTGACTTATAAGACACAGGACTGAACTGTACTGGTACATAGTCCAGTACAGTTTCTTTATTATGCTTGCATAATACACCATGATGATAGCATTGGTACAGTACAGTATACTGTAGTAGTGCAACGGTAGTGGACTAAAAGTGGATCAAGAAAAACTTGAATTCATTAATCCCATAAATAAAGGATATATACTGTACAGTGGACACTATACTATGGACTATGGACTACCTAAAAAAAGACCTTTTCCCTATTAGTCCATATGATACGAGGCCATTTTTGACGGTACTTTACCATAGTTGCCATTGTGACTTGGATGACGTCAGAATTCAACACGGTTCAATGCATACGTGGAAGTAGTAACCAAGTGACGATGGTACCGGACTACCAGTACAGTACAATATTTGAGCTACAGTACACAGTACGCACTGAGTGCGTTTGTGCTTGGCTAAGACAGTAGCCAACTGCTCAGAACATATCGATAGCCTATGTATTTTCACTAGGGATTCCTTTTTCCTTTTACAGTCTATTTTCATCGGCGCTACAGTGCAGCAGCAGAGTCCAAGTTGGTTATTTATTTACGGGACGGTTGAAACGAATTTATTTTCACCCCCTTTGCTTGACTGACTTGTTAAAGGTCAGACGTCACATAGCAGACGGTTGACGTGCAGTGCATTGAAAGTTAGTACCGTATTCGGTACAGTACAGTACGATATAGACTTGTGTATCAGATCATTACGGACCAGTCTGCTTGAGTTGGCCCTCTTGCTTTTTTTTCTTGTCTGTCTTTGCTACGGCACTCCTGTTGGCCATTTTCTTCCATAGCTGGTTAAAAGAGAAAATTTATAGTCTAATTAAAAGGTAAAGAACACTAACGATTTTTGTCTTATTCTTAGATTTTTTCCAATTTGTCTATAGTACTACCTTGTTGATGAGGAAAGACACCTTTTGGGTGATTGATCGTTTCATAGAAAGTAAAGTCAATGAGTGTTTTTCTCCATTTTCTTGTTTTGACACAGTACAGTGAAAAGTGAGAAAGATACAGAGAGAGAGAGAGAGAAAAATCCACTTGAAAGTACTGTTTTGGTGAAGAAAGTGCTGACAGAAATAATTTCGACTGTTAGTTCAATTCAATATTGATACAACTCCACTTGGCGACAACGCCATTCTTGGATAGAAAGAAATCAAAGGTACAGTGATGCTTTCAGCAACGGATCTACAACAGTTCATCGTCGGTATTTTAACCGATGTAGCAACGTTATATGTTTGCGCATCAAGACAAGAACTGATGCCATATTTAAAATTGGATGACAATGTCATCCATAAAATGAAATCGCCAATGTGGGATGAAGCTGTAAAAACGATGAGTAAATATCCACAAAGTACTTTACAATTTCCTTCGGGTTATCATAACAGCTTTTCACATAATATTCACTGGCCAACTCAAGCGGTTGTTGCTTTCTTTGATGTGGTACCCGACGAACAAAATATCAACGAGCAGGCTGACAACGGCAACAGCAATGAAATGCCGAATGAACTTGCCAATGATGATGAAATGGATGATATTTTCTCAAATGTTGAGGAAGAAATTACCACAGACTACAATACCAACTTGTTAACTCCTGGAGAACTATCATCAGCTGTTCTCTCCATGAAATCCAATACCACGGGTGAATTCGATTGGGATTATTGGCATTTTGGTAATGATGACACCCCCAACATGCTGCCATTAAATGGTTGGAAAGGCGATGACAATAAAGGCATTGCATCATTGACTGGCAACGCTGTCAATGGTCTCAACGATGAAGACTCATTCGCGTTAGCTAATATCGTTGATGATGATGATAATAACAATTTGGGTGTGAGTGAAGATTGGTGGGGGCAATTGCCGACTGATTTCGTCGATAGCCCAAGCGAAGGATGTAGTAATGGCTATAGAAGTGACGGCAATAATACCGATCAAAGTATCTCACCATCTGTGATTGCTGCCGACAGCGACAGCAACAGTCGTAGCGAAGCATGGGATCAAATCAAGAAACATATCAATGATGATGAGGTTCTACTTCACTCTATCAATAGCTTAGCATCTCATCAAAGTTCGCAGGGATTTCTACCATTTATTCCTCCAAATATAGCAGATATTAGCCCTATTTCTCGTAATGGATTTAGTTGGGATCATTCTGGACAAGATGATGCATCTGGCTTTAATACAAATCAAAACGATTTATTTCACGAATTAGGATTAGAATTAGATGTTCTTGGTAGTCAAAGCAATAATGAAGCTTCCTTACATCTTAATAGAGATGGACCGCTCAGTATCTCGACCACGAATGATAATCATTTTCTACATCATGGAATACCCAATAGTTCTTTTAATAATGCCACCGGTAATCCTTATGGTGAGTTCTTTGATCTAATGGGTTTAGATAATCAATCTCCAACTGGCGAATTAAAAGGCGACTTACCTTTCCAACCAATACAAGCGTCCAGAAATGGAGTTGCTTCAAATGCTAGCCAACCTCATGTCCCACCTTATAGCAGTAGCTCATCCTCTTCAAGGGATGCAGTATATGCGTTATTTACCGATAGCCGCCCTTACGAATGTAACCCTCAAACCATGGGTGCAACGATGGACATGGGAACTTTTTTCGGTTATAACAATGATGCTATTCGGCTAGAAAATTCCATGGTTGATTCTCATCAGGTTGCCAGTCAAAGTCAGCCTATTGGCGAATGGGCGTCTGCTAATGGGACTGTTGTTTATGGTGAGACGCAAAGCGAATTTGCTGAAATATTTGGTGTACCAACCAATAGCATGTTAGTTTTACCAGTACCTGAGCGCGAATTAGTTGACATGCCTGTTAATGAGTTTCTAGCCATGATTGAGCGTTTACCCAGTGATGTTGCAGCCCTTGCTAGAGATGTTAGGAGACGTGGCAAAAATAAGTTTGCGGCTCGTAACTGTCGAAAAAGAAAGATCGACGACATAGATGGCTTAAAAGATGAAGTAGACGAATTAGAAGTGCAGAAAGAGAGTCTGCTTGCAGAAGTTAAAAAACTCGAAGAAGAAAGCGAGAAATATCGTAAAAAAAGTGAAGCCATGTACAAGAAAATCGAAAAATATGTAAAAATGAAGGAAGCTAACAATCGATCTTGAATGAATGTTCCAATGTGATGCCTATCTTAAGTTCCTGTAGTCTGAAGAACGATTCTTTTTAATTAAAGATCCTATTTGAAAAACATCGTACTAACAGCATGTTGATAGCATGGTAGACAACAATCGTAGTAGCTGTTGTACCAAATATGATGTTAACCTTTGTGTAAAACACTACGTGGCGACAGTTTGTTAATATTGTATGCAGACGCATTCGTTATGAACTTTTAATTCATAAAATACATTTACATATGTATTTATCAACATTTTATTTTTTTGGTCGCCAATGGCAGTATCAACCCATGTTTGATCATAAAAATTTACTTTGAAGGCCTTATTATTGGACTGAAAGATTTTAACTGTTAAGCATGTGTTGAAATCTTCAGCAAGGCATAAGATATCTAGAATAATGATATCTGGTGCTTTGGTTATTATCGTATATAGAGTTTATCTGTTTTCCTGGCTCAGACTACAGCATTGGTTCTAAGGCGAACAATCGGCAACTTTTGATTTAATGTACATAACATTTTGTTGCAAATCGGCTATGCGCTATTACTTCTTGCCGTTTCAACTATAAAATTGACTATACTAGCGTTTACGGTTAGCCGTTGTTACCTATCTTTATATGAAATGGATTGAAGTTGCTGTCATGAAATAGATATGTGCATCTTTCTAGTATCAATAATTAATAGTAAGATGAAAGTAGACAAGTTATGCGTATACATATTTTGGTATTGCTTCTGCTGTTACTTGTTATTAGGTCAATAATATTGCTTGTATGAATTTATCTAAGTCTTGCTTTCTAATTATGATTACTTAGCAATGTCATGCCAGCATTATCAAATTCAGAATATGATAGAATTGTTTCTTTATCGATAATCTATCATGTTAGTTTTTGGTGATATAAATCCAATAGTTTAAGTCTTTATTTGTTATCGATACTTAGTATCGCTGATAACTTTAGAACTCTTTGATCGACAATAATAAAATTAGCTGCTTTTAAGCGGTCTTAATGTATTCAGGCATTGACTAATTATTCGGCTTTGGGAGGCTAGGATATCCTCGATTGATTTTCATTACTGCAAAGAGCATACAAGGGCTAGAGGATTACAGTCTTGTAAATAGGATGCCACAGGAAATTACATCACTATGTAGCCATTTTGCAGTTATAGAATTAATTTTGGGAGTTTTAGTTACTGAACCGCTGTTGTAAATTGCTATTCATTCCGTCAAGTTAACTATCTTGGGTTAATTTGTTCAACTTTTATCAATTCTGTATGTAACATTTACGTTTTATCGTCAATAACGTACAACTGTTACAGATGCCTAATTTTACTTTAGCTAAAATTTAAAATACTTTGATAGCAGTTCTATCATACCATTATTAGCTGCATACTTTGCTCAAATAAGGCCGTAAAGAAAACGTAGGTTACTTTTTGGATGTACGGCTCTGTATTGATAACAACATCGTTGCAGTTTAAGCAAATATCTTGCACTTGATGCGACAGGATCTATCAGCGATCTCTTGAGAATTTATGGAATGAGTTTGCAAGTTAGACGGCAGGGGTAAATCGTCATACAGCGTTAGAGGAAGTACTTAATTATTTTTCATTTAAGAATTGGGTAACGGAATCATTTATTAACTGCTGAATTATGAATCTTTGAAATTTCGTCTACGCCATGCACTACAGATTCAGTAGTCTATGATATTGGAGCTATAGCGCTTACCGTTTCTGCTTGCTACCAGCTTTTGCATTATATACAGTACTTTAGTTTCGAAAATGTAACATATACCCTAACCTAAACTCAAATCATGCAATAGATTTTACTGTAGTGCATAATCTGGAGCTGAGTAGAGAATAACGAAACATTATTGAATTTACTTGCCATGGCGTGTCTATTAACTCTCGCTAATTGTTATATTCATATAGCATGCAAATAGGTTATCTACTCTCTATTGCATAAGTTGTTTTGGTCTTAGAAATTTGCAGTTATTAACAAGTCTGTTGCTATCTTTCATCATTATTATTATGCTGTACTTTTCTCCTATATATATAAACATTTTCAGTAACTGCATTTATAGTATCAGCTTATGTTGCACAATACATATTACCTTGGATCACACACAGTATTGTATTGCACGAAATAAATTACCGCAATTAGATCTAGTGACCAGAATAATGATGAAAATCAAAAAATTACTCACTGTCCTTTACGATAGGATCAAATTTTGTCCTCAAAGTACTGAACGTAATAATATTTATTCGATCAGAAGACCGTATTCATAAATCATACTCATAAACTTACATTATTGCAATTAGCTAACTTTTATTTGACATTTGGGCGAAGTAATATTTTCGGGACAACTGTCAGCGATGCAGTAATATTGTTTCTAAAGCAATATTTATATGGCTCCATGCCTATCATAACTTTATTTTATAACAATAAAATGCAAACAAACATCGTGTTTTTTAAACAAATAAATACCAATGATAGGAGAAAACGGTTTTCTTTCAATTAATTGAAACAAATATTAGTTAATTAAAAAATGCGGTAGTAAAATAGTTGCATGATTTAATGGTATGACTAATGACTGGAAACCATTGAGAATAATTTATCCTCTCTAAAATAACCTTAGTAAGTTTATTGTTATGTATTAGGCTAGCGTCACATTTGTTCTTATTTAAGTCACTTTGTCTGTGTTATGCCTTTTATCAAATTATAGATAATAGGAATAGGAACTCTTGACAACTGCAGCATGATACTATAGTGTTGGACTACCTTAATATAAGCATGAAAGAAAAGGTACAACAATTTAATTACCATACTAAACTTTGCAAAGCAATTTTATTCAAATAAAGTACGTAAGTATCCTTAAATATACAATCACGTAGCTACAGACATTGAGGCGCATGCTAAGGGTAAATGGCTTCATGATATCAAATTTGTCGTATAGCAGTAATAGAGGCAACAACTTGTCATTTTTTTTTAGCTCTAATGTACATTTAAGAATGTGAGAGATTTCTACAATCAGATCGGAAATTCCTTTTCTTGGAACAACAATCGAATCGCTAGAAGGGCTAGTTTAAATACTACGGCATTCATCACATCTTAATTTGTTTTGTAATTTCGAATCTGAATCCATTTTAGTACCGAAGATTGCAAGATTTCTTAACATAGATACAGGTCAGTCCTAGATACAGCTAAGAATAAAATTTGGTTCACTTCCACTGCTCTTCGTCTATCATGCTGATTATACTGTACACACGCTTTCTAAAATATCTTAACTAGTTGTAAACCATTTCCTGAGTAACCTCCAGCATGACGATACTAATGGCCGTCTTAGAACTACTGCAGTTTAACTTCCAGCTCACTATGACTATTCTGGACTGTCTACTATCCGCTAAACTAATTGATTGAATTCTCCATGGTGACGGCAGTTACTATACCAGGTCCAGTATGTCACATCGACTTTACTGTACAGTGTACAGTGTACAGTACAGTACCTCCATAAAAGTGCAAGTACTGTAATGTAAATACTGTACTGTACACAGTGTACAGTACAGTAGCAGTAGTACAGTACAGTACTGTACAGTGTACACTGTGCACTGTACGTTACTGTGCTTTTATAGCACTGACTGAACAGTATTTAGTCCAACATTCCCATGCGCTTCTGTAGTGTCGAATCTCATTACTGTAACTGAAGGACTGTAACTGGCGGAAACCGACTTTCCCTGGGTGTTTTCCTTGTCAAATTGGAAGACATTTGAATGGTTTGGTTTTATTACAGGACATTTTTATTCAGAGAATTGGATAATAGGTAAGAAAAGTTGAAAATGATATAGTAATCTGATCTAGATGAAATTACTCTTATCCTTGTAATAACTGAAATTAGCGTATTTCGTCTGTGAAGTATAAGAGATTCAATTACATTGAACGCGGCGGCGCCAATAATGTCGTGATATTATTCTTTGAGCATTTCAACTTGGACGCATATTGTCGATGCGTAATATGAGAGTCCGTCGAGAAAAGTTTTCCTGTAGTACTTTGTGCTAAAGCCAATCTTACGAGCGCTGTTTCTTACTGTTGAATTTCCACTTTTACCAATGCCTTTGAAAATATAGTAGGCTAGATGTGCATTTAACTGCAACGCTACTGACAATGCCCACCTCTTTGCTCAAGATATCTGTACTGTCATTTGTAATGCGTTTTCCTTTACTAAGCAGTACACTACTCTACTGTATATCAGTGGGCTTGATGATTCATTTCTGAACTGGCAAGTTATGAAAAAGTCAGTACAATGAATGGACATTTACACTAGGGATGGATATTCGAATTAACGATTGGCCTACTCTTTACCTTCAAGCATACACTTTACTGCCGTACTTTGAAAAAGGTGAATTGGCCATTTCAATAGGAAAGAAAGGCATTGCACGTGCGTAGAATGCATTCCTGCATAATACGTATCCGTATCGCGCGCTCTATCACTGTCAGTACTGAGCAAGCATAACTACTTATAAACATTCACCGACAGTTCAACTGCAGAACTTGGGTAGAAGGCTCTCTTCAGCTTGAAAAAAACAAGACATCATTTTACTCCCGCACCTTTTTTTCTCTACAGCCATTTTTTTTCTTAGCATCAGTAATTTGCAACCTCCTTATTCACTCCGACGAGATTTTTAACAATGGAGATACTATGGATCATTCACCTAACTATGCTGTCAAGCATTCCCTACCTAGTTGACCGTTTCAAAAATTTTCTGTGAAGGATTACGCCAGTTGTGCATCAAGCTACAATTATCAACATACCCCATTTTAATCATCGTATAGTATGCAATTAGAACATTCAAGGCACTTCTTTCTTAATATATAATCAGCACACACGGTGTCTATAGACTTTTCTCTCTGTGGTAAAAATTGATTACAAATTCGGCAAAAGTTGTTGGTTGACCTGCTTTGATGATAGTGTGATTCATAACGAGTGAAGCGAATAGTAACCCGAA